TACATCTATATTCACTTCATTTTGGCAGTCTATGTACCGTAATAATAATAATAATACATAACATTTATTAGGCGCTTAATACTGATGTTTCTAAGCGCACAGTGTTCTGATTAAGAGAAGACTATAACCCGTAGAATTAAATTAGAAGAAAAAGCAAAGATACAAAAGTAACATAGATAAGGTGAGAAAAACAGTGGCAATCAACTAAATAAAGACAAATATGGTGCGCACCTCCATTGACCGACGCACAACTAATCATATCCTGTCAAACAATGAGTTAATGATGAAATAATTTTTACCTTTATACAGCAGGATCCATTCACATTATTTTGTACAAATAGAAATGCATACATACATACATGTACATACATTATTGATTTGTATGTTTTTGTTAGCAGGGAATTTTATGTTAGTAGAGTACATTAGATATACATGTGCATGTAGGTAAATGTGATAGGACGAGAACAATCCAATCATATTTGTCTTGGTATTGATATAAGTACATCATTATCATTAATGGCCTGTCATTGTACTTTGTAAGGGTTTTTTCCCCTGTAGAAGAGATCAGCGGGAAGGAAACCAGCTGCATCTTCCTTTTCGAGAGTTAAATTCATCCCTCGTTTTAAGTAAAATTTTGCAGGATCATATATTCCACTTATTTGTTTTTAACAATCCTGGATGAATATCATTATATCTGTGTGTTTTATAATGAAATGAAATAAAGAAAAATCTCGGGCCAATGTTGGTCAAAGGAAAATGAAACACTCCAGATATATCAAAGACTGTTCACTGAAAAACATATGGGCAGTTATCTCTAAAAAAAACTCCAACAGAAAGAAAAACACACATATATATATATATATATATATATATAGTTAATAATGATGATAATTGTAATACCGGTAGTAACAAGGATAATAACGATGAAGAAATAAATACATTTATCTAAATATATGAAAAAATGAAATCACTGCACTCTCAATGAAATCTTATTGAAATAGTAGCAAGTCTGAAAAGAACTCCCATTAATGAATTTTATAAAAATAGACTGTATATTTCACACTCCCCCTCACCTAAGTTTACAATTAATTGCATTGATTCAGTTTCCCATCCTGGCATACATAATGTGAGTCATTATTCAATCTTGTGTAAAAACAATTTTCACCATATGCTTTCATAATGATCGAGGGGAGAATCTTAATTTTGTTTCAGATCAGTGAATGTGCAATGAGCCTAGCTTTGTGACGTCCGACTTTGCTGGATTTAAAGAGACCATTTTTCCAAAGCCCCACCCAACATTCGAGAATACACACGTTTCAATGTATCTTACCATGGTTGAACTAAAATTGTTGTTGTCACATGACCTTGAGTTAAAATGTCACCTGATCTTGAAAAGGCATGTCAAAGTTGAATGATTATTGTGCTGATTTACACAGTGGATTTATGAGCCAACACAGATTTTCGTTAAGCATGAGATTGTGAATTACCAGTTTGAAAGAAAGAGAGTTGCTATTATGCAATGTTGTACAACATATTAACATAATGATCCCAAATTATACAGTGAAACCTGTATATAAAGACCGCTCAAGGGATCCATGAAAAGTGGTCTTTATGTACAGGTTCCTTCAATACAGTTTTAAATGAAAAAACATATTCAAGGGAAACAAAAATGTGGTCTTTCTGTACAGGCAGTCGCTAAAGCAGGTTTGACTGTAGTACCTGTACTGGAAGACGTGGAAGGGTTTGTGTATATGACCTTTAGTCTTTTAAGTGAGTTTTCTCCTATGAAAATATATATCAATGTCAAATATACAGTTTTTAAGTATTTCATGGAATTCCAAATCTTAACTGATTAACTGTGGTCCAAGACGATTCAAGCCAGATTAACCTTTAGTTGTACTCCTCTACATGAAACTGAAACTGAAACCCGATCTGGCTTGAATATTAATTGTGAATATCCTTTATTTGGGATGCCAATATTTCCCGTGATTAATTCCCAATGCTTGCACGAATATTATAGCACAGGCTCTGTATTGAGTATGGGAATGGGTATGATTGAGATGACCTACACTGTACGATCCAGAAAGTATGCAGGTGTTGAGTTTGTCTAGTTACATCGGAAACAGAGTAACAGACGGAAAGTCATGGGGGAAGGGAGGGGGATCATCAAGCTGTAAAATTGATCTTTAATCAGTTTTAAAATCAAACTCAATTTTAGTCGATTAAAATCCTCCCTTATTTGATTTCCAATGAAGTATGAAGGTCGATTTGTTAATCCAGGAAACAATTTTCAGTCCAAAGTATAATAAAAACCATGTTGACTCCAAGATTGCAATCAATGAAAGCCCATTATGAAATATGATGGGTTTTTCAATTTATTAACCAATCTTTATTCTATATTCATATACATGTACTGTAGTACAGACATGGCTGATCATATCTCGAACATCATCTTTCGATCAAGATTATAATCTTCAGACTATTTGCATTAAGCTCCAATATAGCGCCATGAGAAAGTACTCGCTTTAAATCGTCGCCACATTCGGTTGGAGGCGAGACATTGATTTTGCTCCACACCCGCTGCATCACAATGCAATTTGCGCGGCTCCTAATGGATGCGTCTTCAGGATTTCCCGCCGTCTACCCTGAGGGAGTAGTGGATGCCTGCCTAGATGGGTAGATTGAATCGAGATGTGATGTGGTGGAGCAGCGGTGTTGGGAGAGAGAAAGATCTATGCAAACATCTTTATTCTGCTTGAAGTGATAAAATCGCGTTTGGAGGTAGTGATGATGATGATGATGATGATGATGATGATGATGATGATGATGAGAATTTTGAGGATGCAATACCTGTACATGTATCCTTGAGAGTGTTTCCTTTTTTTGTCAAATCAAGATATTTGTTTCAATCAGTGTTGCTTATGTTGGAACGATTGAGATTTTGGAATGCAATATTAAACTAAATTTCAAAATTCAGTAGGGTTTGAAGTTGAACTTAATAGTTGCATACACTTTTTAATAAATTTGAAGTAATACAAATCTTATTTGGTGCTAGTGATGCTGCTGAAAATGATACTGTAAATAAATGCTAGTAAATGTTATTTTGTTAAAGTCATTTGATATCAGTTATGATTTGATTTCTTTCTCTATCTTCCTCTCTCTCTCTCTATCTCTCTCTCTCTCCCTCCCACACACACACACACACACACACACACTCTGTCTTCTGAAATGATTGAGTTAAAAATAACACATATTTTTCAAATCCAGCAAGGTTAGGTTTCACCGGTAATTGCGTCTTAGGCTTGACTTCACCTCATTTGTTGGAGGTGATGATGATCATTATGATAGCGTTTTATACCTGTGTGCTGGAATGGTAGAGTACATGAAGCATGAAATGAGAATTTTAGAGATTACATCAGTAAGTCTTTTGGATAATAATAATAATTATATAGTTTTAGTGTTTGCTGTTTCCTTTCCTAGCCTGCACAAGAACATTGCAAAAATTAGATTTATTTCCAAATTGGAAATTATTCTGCAAGAGTACTGTCTATGTCGTTGGTCCAGTACCGGTAAATTATCCTCCAATACCATGTCACACCCCATCATCATCTCTCCATCTCTCTTCGACCCTCATACTCTTTATCATCCCTTGGGAGCCTAGCTTTCCTTTAATATTTAATAATGTCTCAGATTTTGTTTGCACGCTCCCTCCATCACAATCCATACACTGGAGAAATACTCTATTTGTGCTGTCAGTCAGTGCCCCATTTTGAGGGGATGAAAAAATAACAAATCTGTTTTTATTGAAATAATTTCATATCATACATGTAGCAGAGTGGTTCAGATGGGAACCAATCAAATAAATGCAATTAATATTGAAATACATACAATTAATATTGAAATACATGCACTTAATATTGAAACACATGCATTTAATATTAAAATACATGCATTTAATATTGAAATACATGCAATTAATATTGAAGTACATACAATTAATATTGAAATACATGCAATTATTGCATTATGAATCTGCATGTCTACCTTTAGATCAGTTACAGATCTGCATACATGAACATGTAAACACAATATATCCTCACATGTTTTAGTAGACCTATTTCATGAATAAGGTAAAGATTGTACGATTTAGGCTCGAATCATTTAAAAAAAAAGTGGATCCCAACCATTTGAAGCGTTTAGAGCCCATTGCCAAGATAGTTGTGGGATAACAATATATATTTTTCATAGACTTTGCACATACATGTACCTAAAACTTTGCTTGGGCAGATCAGAAAAATGGCAAGCATTTCACTTATTATAGCAGGTAAAATATCATGCCATAATTCATTCTCTAAGAACAGATATTTAGTTTTATTTCATCAAAGATATTAATGGATTCACAATTCTAAAAGTCTATTTTACTTTTGAATTTCTCTGTCTATCCTTCTCAAATGTTTCCAGAATCTAATATAAGACTGGAGCATTTTTGGCAGAGTTCCTCCGCATTTTTCATACCAACTCCGAATTCCGAGTGCATGCCTCAAAACTCCGATTTTTTTTAAATTTAATTTTTTTTTTTTTTTTTTTTTTTTTTTATTAGAGTGTAATGCACTTGGAGAGTATATAACTATTATGTTTGTATTTTGAAATGTAAAGCGCCTTGAGCATGTTCATGTAAAGGCGCTCAATAAATACCAATATGTATGTATGTATGTATAAGACTAAAGCATAACACAGCACTGATAACCAGATCACGCCGACATTCGCGCTCATAGAAGATATACACAGCGACATGGAAACAAAAAATAGACCCTAAAGTCCTGTGTACCCCCCCCCCCCCCAATCTACAGGCTACTACCCCAATCCTTCGGTGGTTCGCGACCTCGTAGTCCATCCAGAAAAATTTACTCCTAATTTCTCTTGTCTCAGGTTGGCAGGTATGCTGGAGGCCCTGTGATTAATCGTGATTTATTTATTTGTTTGTTCTTCCTCTCTACCAGGCTGCTCCATGGAGTGTTGATGCGGAATGCCACGGTAACGGAGCAGAACAGAAGTCTCCTGGTGGAGACGTTGAGATCCATGTCAGAGATCCTCATCTGGGGGGATCAGAATGACAGCTCCGTCTTTGAGTAAGTTTGACGGGCTAACTTCGAATCATCGATTAATCGCTTCAGTTTGGATGGTCGCGTTACCCAACCTTTTGTGAAACCATGCCCCCCCCCCCCCATTCATGAAATGTTGAGGGTAATGTTTGTGGAAGTAAATCTCTCTCATCTACATTGGTATGGTCCAATTTACCCAACACTTTGTGAAAAACCCTTGGCAAATCTACGATAGGTCGCATGATCTTCGGTTTTCGTTTATGAAAGGTCAAGTAACCCGACCTCCCGACCGTGCGCGATGATCCAATGAAGAAGTAAGCCATTTTGATGATGGGAGAAAGAAACAAAATATATTAGCTTGAAGATATATATCATCGGAAAATGAAGCATTACATAAATATGACGACTTCATTTCAACAGATGTGCAGATATCTGTGAAGCGCTTAGTGATTTTTCTCATTAGTTGATCTATAAATCCAGAATATTATCATTATTCAGTATTTGAATACTTTCTATAAAGGGAAAGTATGTTACGCAGCCTGCTATTATCAAAGTCATATTATAAGCCATTCGTCATGATCATAAGAAGATATGCATTCACTTCTTTTTGTGTTTTTGTGATCATTCCACCAAACAGTTTCTTCTTGGAGAAGAACATGCTACTGTTCTTTCTGAAGATCTTACGTCAGAAGACGGGAAGCTACATCTGTGTTCAACTCCTCCAGACTCTCAACATCCTCTTTGAGAATATACGAAATGAAACATCCCTATGTAAGTGTTTTATTTTGCACATAATCATCAGTAAATGTTGAGAACATGAAATATTAAAGATGATTATAATGTTAAGTGTGGGGTGTGTGTGTGTGTTTGATGTGTCCGCTTGTGATTATTACTAATGTTTTACTTGTAATTTGTTAATTTTGTAAAAGGGGCACCAGTTCACCAGATCTTGATCTTTTTGGTTGCCCCTAACGATATGTCAACTTTATTTATGATTATGTCAACATGTTCTATTGTATTGAACTATATTTTATATCGTTGAATAATTGAATTGAATTGAATATATACATGTATGCCTCTTTGACACTTGATGCAACATCGCTCTTACTTCTGATGTTCAAATAGTTGCATATCCAGGGTATTCATATTAGGACATCTTTTTTCTGTTAACATTTATTAACTGATAGAAAATCAGTCAAGACCTAAAATGAATTAAAGACCTACAACATGTATTTCACTAAGAAAACAGTAAATCAACATTATAATTATCAAATGCAGCTGATATTTATTTATTATTAAACTAAAAGACTTCAAAGAAAGAAGAAAAAAGGGGGAGGAAAGAGAGAGAGAGAGAGAGAGAGAGAGAGAGAGAGAGAGAGAGAGAGAGAGATGGGGGGGGGGGGAGAGAGAGAGAGAATGGTAGTAATATTAAGAGTGAAGTTACCCTTTTGCTCATTTTGCAAATTTTCCCACCTTCATTGTACTAATGCTCAATTTATACATGTATGATTAGAAAACTTAGAATTGACTATTTTTGTCTGTTCTTTCTCAGATTATCTATTGTCCAACAACCATGTCAACTGCATCATCGTCCACAAGTTTGACTTCTCTGATGAAGAGGTAAGTGATTATAATGAGGTGTCATTCTCTCACTTTAAAGGCATTGTTTAACAATGTTTCCAGTTTTACAAATCTGAGATGCATAGCCCTATGTGTTATCAGCGTCTGTGATACAGTGTAATATTGGAGCCCTAACAAAATTGCACTTCAAATTGATCATGAAGTGCTTCACTATACTGTAGCGTTATAAAAAAACTGTTTGGCAAACAGTTTGTGACATTTCTAAATTCCAATCATAAACACCTTGATAATCAGACAGGCGATCGGCTTGTAAAAGTCATGGGATTCTCGACTGACCTAAAGGTTTATAATTATGATTGCAGCATGAGCTAAATCCAGGATTTTGTTTAGAATCTGAAGCAAAGATACCCAATCCCTTTAATTGCAAATGATATCCTTACATGTAGATGCACTCTGCTCCCCTTAAGGGACACCCAGACTTTGGTAAAGCACACTTTCAGGTTTAATTGGAGAGCCAAAAAATAATTTAAAAGATCATTTAATTTTCTTTATTTCAGACAGAGAAGAACAAAGTATTTTTTAAACTTCAGAGTATCTTTGAAGAAATGTCAAATTGACCATGTGAATAATATTTTAATTCCTCCAATGTAATTCCCTCAATACGGAATAGATTTCTTTTTCTTTAGGAGAGTATGGAGGCATTTGTTACCCACAATCATATCTAGCAAATGCTACAGGAATTTGTTTCTTTCAAGTAAAACCTAAAAACCTTGTTAGGACTTTGCAGTTTGATAAAAACCTATCTAGATTGACTGTTTCATGCAAAAGGTTCCAAACTTTGCATTTGTGATTACCATTAATTGCTATTATTACCCGTATCAGACATCTGAGCTGGTCATTTATAAAACCGTATTGCCCTAGTTTTCACTAGCAGTGGGAACGGAGGGGTATATTCTTTGTATTTTCCTTGGTCTCCCTGCGCGTATTGACTTTGCGTGTAGAGACGAGTGAAAATATACCTTGGTATTTTCCACGGTCTCGCATATCCGGGTATCTTGTATTGACCTCGCCGTATTTTGTCATTTTCATTGCGCATCTATTATGCGTACGAGAACCTGCGCACTCTATTGTGACGTAATAATCACACCAAATGCACACTGTTTGCAGTGTATCGAAAATTTTGTCAAGTACTGGATGCACAGTGCTGGTTTGACAAAGTTTGTTCAGTTCTTGAGATTGTCATGGTGGATTTCTGTATTTGCTCTAGATGTCTGATTTGGATAACAATACAAATATTGACTGGCTTTACTTTCGGGGGATATCAGAAATATTGACCGCGCTAAGACCATATTGCCCTCGTCTTTCGACTCGGGGCAATATGATCTGAGCTTGGTCAATATTTCTGATATACCCCTCAAGGCCAGTCAATATTATATAATTATTTTGTGCCTTTTTTCCTTCATTTCTTCTAGGTGCTAGCATACTATATCTCCTTTCTGAAGACTCTGTCCTTCAAGCTCAATAAGCACACCATCCATTTCTTCTACAATGAGGTGAGTTCATGATCCTTTTGTCTTCTCTAGGCCTGTTTTCATCAGCTTGAGTTCCCAAATAACCTGCTATTTTCAGACTCGGTATATTATCCCAAAGCTCAAAATTGTGTCTTCACCAGACCGATACGCTCATCACAAACTAGCTCAGATGGGCACAAATAAGCCTGCTATTTCCCAAATAGCGGGATATTTTGGAAACAAGACCAACATTTCTCAGGATATTTTCTCAACTAAATATCCCGCTAATTGCAACTGCGGGCTGATGAAGGCTCAAATTAACTGGTTAATTTGCGATCGGGATAGTTAAAGTAGCAGGTTATTTGGCTAACTTGAGCTGATGAAGACAGGCCTTAAGATATCTTTTTGACGAAACTCTTCATGGCATATATGTGATTGTATACATGTTTAGATATGGAGATCCATAACACCGTTCATAAATCAGTATCTGTCTGTATTGAAGATATATGAGCTGAGATGAAATCAAAAAGTACTGAATGATATAGCCAATATTGTTGCAGCAGAAATAACTGAGTAGTGAGACCATCAAATTTGGAAATTGAAACTTTGTAGATGACAGCAAATTTTACATCAACAAACTTTACAAATGACAGAAATTCAGGGTTGTTTCCGGTGTGATTCAATTATTTTGAGGCATGGAACTTTGCAAATCTTCCCCACTCAACAACTCATAGAGAGAGAGGAGAGGAGCAGCTCCTGTGTACCAGTACCAGTAGATTGATCGCAACAGTGAGATGTGTTTGTCCATGAACAAATTCTGCGGCTGTTTTTATTGCCTTTGTTCATATGAATGTAAATGCCATTCTCTTTCTTAAAGGGGGTGTAACATGGCAAATACTGGTTAACGCCATCTACGACTTCTTTTGAACAACTGCACGTAAACGAATGGACTTGATTAACAGTCAGCGTGTGCTAGCATTCGCAAAACAGATCAAAGTTCTGCATATGTTGCACGCACATGAATGCTGCGGTCGCGTCATCCGTAGTCGCATTATACCCTATTGGCCCTAGTCGGGCCTCGGGAAAGACACGTAGTCTCGTCATGCTACACTCCCTTTAACTTTTGTTTCTTTGCTATATCTCCCGCAGCACACCAATGACTTTGCCCTGTACACGGAGGCCATCAAGTTCTTCAACAACCCAGAAAGCATGGTCAGGATCGCAGTACGCACCTTGACACTCAATGTATATAAAGGTGAATCCCCTCTCTTTCTCTCTTATGCCCGCTCTACACTATATTTTGTGGGTCTCCATGGATTTTTGTGTAATAATAATATGTCTTGTTTACCAAGGGTAGCCTCATCAGTATTAATATTGTTCTCCCTGAGGGCCTTGCAATCATAGTATTACCCCGGCTTTGGCTGAGCTATCAAGCATCCAAGGATTCCTTCCTACCGCGTACTTATTTACCTCACCTGGGTGGAGTGTGGCAAATGTAGATTAATATCTTGTCAAAAGACATTAGTGCTGCGGCGGGACTCAAACTGCGAACCGTACGATCCACAGTCTGGTGAGGTATCCACTAGACCATGACACCTCGATTGGTCAGTGACCCATAGGCGTCATTCTCTTATGATGTAATAAACTGCCATCACACAAGAACATTGCTGCGGCTGAAAAATCACAAATCTGTATATTGTTTGTTTGTTTGGTTTACCTGACTGCTATAAGAAAGCATGTGTATGCTTGTAAGTAAACAATCAGGACCGACGGCTTTCAGTCCTCACCGTGGGACTGGGTAATGAGGACTATGCCTTTCCCAAGGGCACTAGTGCATTGACTTATTTTCTAACCCGGGACCTCCAGATCACGAGACCACTGCTCTACCATTGGCATATAGCCATCGCGCCTCCTATATAATATTATAACACAGAAGTCAGAGAGTATATGTAGTGGCTCTTCCTGCATGCATGAATGTGTTTACCCCCACCCCCTCTTGCCATTCATTTTCATGTACATATGAAATGCTGACAATGGCAGAGCTGTTTTTTTGTCTTCCACACCAAGTCTGAACTAAGCTTAATTCTCCAGTTCCATGGTTAAGCTATGTTCTTTTTCATTGAGTTTGTATGATACTTTTGTCTGTGACTATATTTTTCCTTACATACATTTTTTCTGTTACACTATTGTTGATCTCACAGAACAAACAGTCAAGAGTCTAATTTCAAGATTTTAATCATTGCACTATTTTCCAACTGATTGACGGCCTATTGTGGGATATCTGTCACTTTTGATAGGAAGCAGTATAAACAGTAGCTTATTCAAAGCTAATTCCAAGCAAATTGTAGTATGTTGTTGCTATTGTAAGCATGATAGATGAAGTGGTCACTTACCTCTTTTCCCTGCCTAACTCTCCATAAATTGTCAAATGTTAAATTTGTTTTTTGTTTTGAAACAGTGAATGACAAGGCAATGCAGATGTATATACGTAACAAGACGGCCGTCCCTTACTTCTCTAACCTGGTCTGGTTCATAGGTAACCACGTTCTAGAACTGGAAAGCTGCGTCAGAAATGACATTGAGTAAGTACAATCAATCTTTCATGAAAATGGTACTAAATCTACACCAAAAAAAAAAAATCCCCTTTCTAAATGTATGATTTTGTATTAAGCCCTATGGTGCTTTTTGTTTTCAGCGCCCCTAAATGTCAGATACCCTCATTATTTTTAGTTTTTAGAAGCAAAGTTGAGCCATAAGCAATGAAAAGTGTATCAAAAGGATGCTGAAGATTATGCATTTGGGCAGGCAGTGGTAAATGTCTTAACACCTTATTTTTATAATCATAATCTTTATTTCTAACTGACAATTCATATTGAGGGATAAAGCAGGTTATTCACTTCTAAAGTGGTATAATAAATGAGTGTCAAATAAAATACATCAACTAGGTTTCAAGATATTTGTGTGTTTTCATAAATTATGTTTGAATAGTTTTGAATCTGATTTAAAGCATTTTGGGCACTCACATAGCCATACAAAACCCCATAATCTCATAATCTTGTGAGAGATTTTAACAATGGATCATAAATATTTTTCTAGTATGTCATTGACTTTGCTAGACAGTTTGTTCATTGTGACATGACTTCGAGGATATGTAGCGACTTCCTTAGCTTCCTGGCTTGTGAAATGAAAGTATTTTTCAATGTCAGATTTGATTCATGCTGTTCAAACTTTCTAAACAGCCCCTAGGTTTAAAACACGTTGAGTACTTTGGGATTCTGTGTCTGCAGTTGTTAACTGCCAAAAGTTTTCACTCTCCAAGATATCAATGGAAATTACTAATACATGTCTTCATTTGAATGAGATACATGTTAAGTGTAACCTGTCTATAAAGACCAAAAAAGGAGACAAGAAAAGTGGTCTTTAAGTACTTCAGTACATGTTTCAATAAGAAACAATTTTCAAGGGAAACAAAAAATGTGGTCTTTGAAGACGGGTGGTCACTAAAGTAGGTTCCAATGTATATGTATTTCATTTATCTAGTGAAGTAGTTGTAAAACTTTTCTCAGATAATCTATTTCTAGAGTTGTGCGATCAAAAGTTCCATTGGGTTCCTATTACCGTTTGCAATGTCTTTTTTTCTTTTTTTTAAATTTCAATTCCGATTGAATACCATTTAATTTCCCCTTAAATCTTTCATCGCTGCCATTTGTTATAGACCTTACTCAAACATGTCCTCTATCAAAATATTAAGTGGCATAAAAATGGTCAAAAGAAGTATTGTGTGTTCATTCAATCACGAAAAGCAAGAATTCCATTTCTACATGTACACCTGATTTATTGCATCATCTTGAACCCAACATGCTATTTTTCAGTCACCAAAGCAAAAGTCGTTTGTCTACCCTGGTCGCCGAGCACCTCGACCACCTCCACTACCTGAACGACATCCTCAACATCGGCATCGATGGCCTTAACGTCGTCCTCACCAACCACCTCCTCAACAGACTGCTTGTGCCTCTCTACGTCTCCTCCATGACCAAGACGAGGTCACACGGCAAAGCTGTGAGCAGACCTTTGTTTCGTTTCATTCTGCAATGTTTATTTGGAGTTGTATAAAGGAAGCAAACGATGTTATCTGTAGACAAAACAAAAATCTATGTGTTTACAACAAATAAAATAAAGGGAGAAAGCGATGCCATTTCTTTATTTGAGACACCTCAAATGTCTCATTAATGTTATTTTTTGGCTCTAAGATATTTCTACCTATTTTTATGTTTGTACTTTCATCATTATTGTTTTGTGGCCCATCATGTGTACAGTGTAAGCTTAAATCATCCCCTGTCATGATGGTATGTTAAATAAACCAGAAGAAGAAGAAGACTTTTTGATATGGATAATAAATGTGCTACCTATACCTTATGATTTTACTAAAGCAGCTGTTCTGTTCTGCTTACCCAGACTACTAAAATGTGTCTCATTGAGGAATATTCAAAGCTGAAATAAAGAATGTCTTAGCAATGGTCTGAAATAGTCTGCATTTTTGGTCTAGAGCATTCATAAATATTCATTGAAACATAATACATCTCAGCTTGTTGATCTAAAAGTAAGTTTCTTTATAATCTAATACAAAAACTAAAATGAGAAATTATGTATTGTGATAAAATACATTTTAAAAGACATGAATACAATCATTTATATTCCATTGTTTGTCATTACAGTCGAATCCCCCGGCCATTAGCTCTGTGGTAGCTCTGTTTCTACTCTCTCAGGTAGGTACTGAAGGGCCCCATTTCACAAAACTTGTCATCAGTGATAAAGTGATAAATGACAATTTTTGTTATAAGCTACTGAAATCCTTTCTTCTGATTGGTTATCAGCAGATTTGTCACTGATTTTTGTCATTTGTCATTGAGAAAAAGCTTTGTGAAAAGGGTCTCAGGTCTTAGACATCCCCAATCTGTCTAGATATATGCAAATGCAATACTTGATCCCAATCCACTATATAATTTGTTTCATGCAGTTTGGAAAATGTGAGCATTTACTAAATGATATATCAAGATGTAAAGCCCAAAGATTTGTATTATAATCTAGTATCCAGTTAAAGAATCCAAGTAATCTCTATGCATTGGAAAAATGAATGTTGCTTACATCCTGCAATTAGTAAATATTGATACTTCTGAAAGCATTAGTGTTTTATCATAGTAATGTAAAATGACTAAAAACAGGACAAACTTGATGTCGTTTTTATGCCTCCGCCACCGAAGGTGGTGCCGGAGGCATCATGTTTTCGGGTTGTCCGTCCGTACGTCCGTCCGTCCGTACGTCCGTCCGTCCGTACGTCCCGTTTGACCGTTATCACAATATCTCAAGAACCATTTAAGATTTAAACTTAAGACTCGGGAATAGTATTTATCACCATAGGAAGACGATCTGATAAGATTTTGGAGTACGTAGGTCGAAGGTCACAGGTCACAGAGGTCAACTTATGAAATTCCTTGTATTGAGTTTGTTAGCGCGATATCTCAAGAACCATTTGAGATTTAAACTTCAAACTTAAGGATAGTATGTATCACCATAGGAAGACGATCTGATTAGATTTTGGAGCACGTATGTCAAAGGTCAAGGGTCACAGAGGTCAACTTATGAAATTCCATACATTGAGATTGTTTACATGATATCTCAAGAACCACTGGAGATTTAAACTTCAAACTTAGTGATAGTGTGTATCACTATAGGAAAACAATCTGATTACATTTTGGGTCACAAGGTCAAAGGTCACAGGGCTCATTATGTATGCAAAAACAGCTTGTGATCGCGTTATCTGAACAACCGATTGATGGATTCCTGCCAAACTTTGGTCATGTATGTATCTTGCAGAGCTGATAAACTGATTAGATTTTGGGGTCACGAGGTCAAAGGTCACAGCGCACATTGTGTATGCAAAAACAGCTCGTGATCGCCTTATCTCAAGAACCGATTGATGGATCCCTGCCAAACTTAGGTCATGTATGTTACTTGCAGAGCTGATGAACTGATTAGATTTTGGGGTCATGAGGTAAAGGTCAAGGTCATGCAGCTCATTATGTATGCAAAAATAGCTTGTGATCGTATTATCATTAGAACAGATTGATGGATTCCTGCCAAACTTAGATCATTTATGTATCTTACAGAGCCAATGAATGGTTCATAAGATCAAAGGTCATGGGCTCATTATGTATGCAAAAATAGCTTGTGGACGCATTCTCATTAGAACTGACAGATGGATTACTATTTAACTCAGGAAATCTTGCAGAGCCAATAAACTGAGTAGATTTTAGGGTCATGAGGTCAAAGATCAAAGGGTCATATATGTATATGAGAAATTGCTTGTAATCACGATATTCTGAGAACATGTTAATGGATTACAATTGAACTTGAATTTGAAAAATTTCTTCCGTTTCGGTTTGTAAAATTGCTCTATGACGGAGGCATCATTTTCGACTGCGCGCAGTCGAATTCCATCTAGTTTTTTTGTCTTTTACAATTGCATATATTGAGGGGTCAGTGACACAAAGACGTAACTCCATTTTGGCCATTTTGAGAAAAAGTGGCTTATGTGTCACTGAGCACTTGAGGAGTTGAGTCTATGTTTCACTGACCATTGACTTCAATAGGGTGTTGGGTGGTGTTAAGTCTTTGTGTTTCCTGGAAAGCCCACATTTTTCTGAACATTTTGATATCAAATACTCATTTTGGTAAAATATATGTCACTGAATCCCTGATATGTACCTTGCAAAGATTTAATTTAGGGTTCTCGTTATAATTGAACCAAATCACAGAGATGGAGAGAGAGCTTAATACAACTGCTCAATATTACCTTTCAACACTATTTTATGTGGTTTTATTCAAGTAACACTTTAAAAAAAATTGTAATTGCCTCTTGCAAACGTACATTATACATGTGGTTTTATTCAAGTAACACTTTTTTAATAATTGTAACTGCCTCTTTCAAGTAACATTACACATGGTTTTTGCAGTTTTATACAATTCTATTTCAAAGAAAGGATTACTTTTTCATTCTCATGTTTTTCCCTCTAATTATGTCAGGTATTCCTCATAATGAAGCAGCAGCCTCTAGTATGTCAGCTAGTTGATATAATCTTCAATGGTACTTACAAGACGATAGCAGACCAGCCTACAGACATCAGCGGTATAGGGGTGAGTTTCATTTTGTTCATATACACCTCTATACTCTCAACTCTCACAAGAAGCCACAAACAGTTTTCTTCCTCAAAATAACAGTAGAACATTTTTTTCTTTATAAAGTATGTTTTTTTTTGTGCACATACCATCAACGAAATGCCCGAAAATGTTGATCACTACTTCAATAGAAATATTTAATAGAGATTTATGAAGAGTACAAATTTACAAATAGTAAACAAAAAAGAAAGAAAAAATTTAGACGTGATGGTTTCGAGAAATCAGTCCATGAACACTAGCCGTGTGTTTGTTGGAGACATATCTAACCTCTGTTCTTTTATTTCCAATAGGAAGTCTGTCAAGAAATATTGTTTCTGCTAATCAAGGTTTATATTAGTGAAGCCTGCTAATATGCTTTAGCTCTTTTTTTGTTGCTATACACAAAATGATTTTGAGCGGTTTTGTATATACCGTGCAGTTCATTAGGTAGGACCACATGAATATTGTTCTGACTGTCATTTGTGAAAAATTGTGTTCATTATGAAGTGATATCAGAAACATTGATTATTGGGTCTCATCAAGCGATTCTTCAGTTTTAAAGGTAGAATAATGGTATTAAAATGGATATGTCACCAAGGGTACACAGCAAACAAACTGCCCTTTTGACAAGTATACATCACTCTTTTAACTTTCTATTTGCTGCGGAGTGAAACTCCAGACTACCACATGGTTTGTGTGACAAAAGTCTAATATTGCAGTCCACTGTTTGCTCCATTAGTTTACAAAAGTAGGCAAAGGGTTTAAATACACCTGAAATTTCATTGGGGGATGACATGCTTTCGAGTAATAGCAATTTCAATTGCTTTTGCACCCCTGACCAGCAGATTGTATCCTTCTCTCTCTCCTTTCCACTTTCCTAAAGCTGTTTGCATTTATTATGAAATTTCTATGTATTATCTCATTGTTATACTCATTGTATGTTTTCCAATTGGTCAAATAAAGGTCAAATAAATAATAATAATAATAATTTGAATTTCTTGTGATATGTCAATGGCATTGCTCCCATCATCAGACATTCTGCGCATTCGTGGAGCCATCGGAGAGCCTGGAGATCTCCCTGGACAGCAACCGGGAGAGAACCGGGAGAGAGATGAAGGAGAGGAGGCGGAGACCCAACTACCGCGACGTGGACTCGCCAACCGAGGACATCGACGGCGACGGCGGGGGCAAGGAGGTAGACCAAGGGCGGACTGACGGTCCTGTTGTTGCTATAGCAGCTGCCGAGGATGAGGACGATGGAGATGATGAGGGAGATGGTGAGGGGGTGTTGAGAGGAGCTGTAGGAGGAGTAGGTGGTAGGACGAGGAGGAGAGAAGAGGAGGAGGAGGGTGATGAGGAGGAGGAAGACATGCCAGAAGCAGAGAGAGGAGGGAGAGCATCTCCTACACCAGATAACTCAAGCTCTGGTGTAACAAGTAAGAAATCCTTGTTTGCTTGACCAACTTTTTTTTACAAGTAAATTTGTTGATGTGTGCATTAGGAAAGGCCTTTAAAACAAAAAAGCTCAAGTCCACTGTGGTGTCAAATTAATTTTGAATAGCTATATGAAAATGAGAGCAACAGGTCAGTGCATGTTTGAAAAATATGCAATTAAAGGTAACACAAAGTTTTGGGAAATTTTGAAAATTGGGTGGATAGTGATTCTTTACCATTTTGATACATTTGGATGCCCCTGTGGATGTATTATAAGCACTAGAAAATTTAGGCCATAAAACTCTTCTGCTTTCGAGAAAAATTGAATATAAAAATTTACCGGTGCTCCTGGTAAATTTGATAAATTTCAAATAGCGCCTACAGCCGTACAATAGTAGCTGCGACCATGAAAATCTCAGAATATGTAGTTGTGATATCAAATTTCCAAACGGGAATAGCTAAACGGTCGATTTTAAAGAGAAGAGAAGATCATGGCTGCTGCTCTCTAAAGACAGTTATTAGTAAGCTGTTATTGATAAGTTTTTGCTGCCTATCTTTCTTGTTCCAGGTGAGTCTGACTCCACCAGTAACACCAGCAGTGCTATCTCGACGTCTGCCACTAGTCCATTGGTAGATTCTAATAGCACTGATGAAGAGAAACGTATAGCCGCTACACTTCAGAGGGCAGAACTTAATCTTTCAACAAGGTATGAACATTTCCCCCTACATGCAGTTCTTTCAGCGCAACTTCACAGAAATATTTATTTGCGAGTGATGATAATAACAATTCGTTTTTGTATAGCGCATAACACATTATGATATAACGTCCCTATGCGCTTCCAAAGAGCTTTGGAAATTAATACACTACCTTTAGCTCCGGAATGCCTTATCAGCGAGTATTGATAATATCAAGGGATAATCCTACCATCTTGTATAGCACATAACACATTATGATGTGACGTCCCTATGCACTCCCAAAGAGCTTTGGAAATGATTACCCTCGCTTTAGCAACGGAAGCCGTTATCAGTAAGTAATAATGATATCAAGGAATAATCCTGCCAGGTACCCATTTACCTTATCTGGTTGGAGCGTGGCAAATGTAGATAAACGTCCTGCCAAAGGACGTTAGTGTTGTGGCAGGGATTCAAACCCATACCTTGTGGTTCACAGTCCGGTGACATGTCCACAACGCCTCTAGTAGCACCTACAGACAGGATTCTCGGTCCAAATTGAATGAAATATGGCTTTGCATCACATACCAGGGAGATGGTTTTGGAGGGCCAAAGCAGTTTTACAGGGTTCATTTTGGGATGTATTACCCTTGTCAGAACTATTTCACAGAGAATTAGGCTTGTATTTGTTTTCTTTCTGAAGTCCCCCATGCTTGATTTTAATAGCATCAAGGTTGTTATGCATGGGCAAGAATGACCAGTACAGCAATATTTCTTTCAGCACTTTAGATATTAAACTTCTTGGAGGTATTCATTCACCCATTAGCACAGGATGCTCTTTTACATTTGTTTGCTCATAAATTAATTTTTAAAGTTTTTTCCTCTGAATTATTCATCCAATGCACATGTTTTCCTCTCAGAAAATTACTATAGTCCTCTATGTTCTTGTGTTTTCTTTCTTCAGACCATACTTTAGCTGTGTCTTGAATTCTTTGGATTGTAACCATGGTGATTACAGAGCATTGTTTGCCCTATGTCTGCTGTATGCTATTGGTTCTAATGAGGGTAAGTTTAAGATTTTCTTTTCACTGGATTTAACAGGACTTTTGCAGAATGTCAATCTTTTCCCAATTCATCGTCAACATTGCCTGATGTACGTGTATCCAACATTGTTAAATTATCTTAGACGTTTCATAGAAACAAAAATATTCCCTTGCTTAACCATTGGTTAAGCATTTGATTTTATCATCAAATGTATATAAGAAAAGAATTAGTGTAAATAGTTACACAATTTTTTGATTACTGTAAATGTCTATAAAAGTTGTATTGGATCTTCCTGTGTACTTTACAAGGTTATAGCAGATAACACACATACATGTATTTACTCATTTATTGATATAAAACCAATAACCTACATGTATATCCTGATAAATTATTAGCTATAGAGATATTTTTGATGATTGTCTTTTAACTAACAATTAAATAAACAACCTCTAGATAAAAAGAAAAGCATGTAGACTTTATTGCTTATTTCAAGAACCTTTTTCCTTCTCTCGTGCGTCTTTGTAGGAATCAAGGAAAAGCTTTTGGATGGAGTCTTACTCACAAACAGGGTAGAGGTATGTATGAAATAGAGCAACCAGGATTCACTTTTAACCTTTAAAGGAGATTAATACATTATTGTTAAATATTTGTACATTATGTAAGCCATTCTAGGCCTGTAATGGGTAGTTTCCTGGGTCTTTTTCTGATTTCTCGGAAATGAGTCTTTTCACAGTTTCTTTCATTTGCAAATTGGTATGGATATTGAAAGATTAGCTTCAATTCTTGCTAGTTGACCAAAGCTATTGGTGGCCTTTTATCTATAATATGTATTTCTAAATATAACACCTGATCATTGAAGGTTATGTTCCAGAATAAGGCCTTGTACAACTCTTTTCTGGTAGAGGGACTGATTGCCTGAGGAATCAAAGATATCAATTCCAACTAACCCTTATGATGGTTATTATGACCCTCTGGTTAAGAACCAGTGCCCAAATATAACACATGATTATCAATGGTTGTATTCCAGAATAAAGCCTTTTACAACTCTGTACTGGTTGAGCGACTGATTGCCTTGATGAACCAGAGCTGTCAGCTCAATAGCTGCATCCGTCCTGTTACTCTTGAGATGGGTTGCCTTCTTCTCAAGCAACTAGTCTTCAGTAACATCCAAGCAAAGTGCTTCCTAGAAGACAGACACCTAGCCTGTGTAGAGGTAAGCTCGTCTTTGTTTTAGATTCTAAGCAAAATTCTGGATTGCAATCATAATTATAAACCTTTAGGTCAGTCAGAAATCCCATGATGTTTACAAGCTGATCGCCCGTCTGATTATCAAGATATTTATGACTGGAATTTGAAATGTCAAAAACCGTTTTCCCCAATGGTTTTTGTAACACTACAGTCTATTGGGGAAAATGAGTATGGTGAAACTGGTCACTCAAAGATTTTTACTTTTATGAGGCACTTCATGATCATTTTGAAATGCAATTTCTTTAGGGCTTCAATATTACACCATATCACAGACGCTGATAACACGTAAGGCCATGCATCTCAGATTTGGCATTATTAAACAATGCCTTTAAAACTCTAGATGAAAAGATAGCTAGCATTGATGCAGGAAACCAGTGGGATGAAACATTGCTCCTTGTGCGATATTTCATCTCACAAAGTTGTGATTGATCAATTTGTAAATATGTAATTCCATGACATACCTCGGATATGGCTTACCTCTTTTGCAAGCAACTGGTCTTCAGTAATATTAAAGCAAGGTACTTCCTAGTAGACAGACTCCTAGACTTTTTCTTTTAAGAACTATGCAATTATTTGAATTAATGCATAATATAAATATCAAATCAACAGTGAATAATATGTGACATACTTGACTTGACTTATGCCATCCACGCAGTCAGGAGACCTCATGATGGCTTCTGTATGGTGATGGTATGCCAGGTAGTTCTACTTGCAGCCAGTCTTGAAGCATCTGTCGGCCTGGTTATGGATCTTGCTTTGCAGTCCTCTTTTGGGTCGATTTTCTTGTGACGTTTCCTTCAACAGCCATCTTGGGGTACCTTGTGGGTTGCATTCTTAGAACGTGACCAAAATATTTGAGTGTTTAAGTGAAGACTTTATGCAGAACATCTTGGTGGAGGTTGGGGGATTCTGTGATATGTATGTAGATAATACACCAGCATAAGAATCCCGTTCTTAATAGGGTTCAGAGTCTGATTTATCTCTCGTCAAAATAGGGGAAACCATATACATGTATACACACAAATTCAAATGATATAGTGGCCTTTCTTGGCAGGTCTTTCTAAACATCATACAATAAAATGCAGTTTGAATATTTGCTACGATGAGTTTTAAGAATTTAATATGTTTTTATCTATTCACTTTGACTTTGACTACCAGGGTGCTAAGGAGGAGAGTGTTCTGCTCCTAAGGACCTTCTACAAGGGAGATGAACTCTTCTTAGACATGTTTGATGATGAATATCAGAGTATGAAGGTGAGTGTACATTGCAATGGTGCTCTGGGCCCCATTTCACAAAACTTGTCATCAGTGACAAATGACAGTTTCTGTTATAAGCTAGTGAAATCCTTGCTTCTGATGATCAGCAGATTTGTCACTGATTTTTGTCATTTGTCATTGAAAATGGCTTTGTGAAACAGGTCCCTGTTCTATATAATGCTGTCAAACTAACTATTGTGTCCATGAAACTTTCTAATATATACTTTGAGATTCAGAAATGATTAGATTATCGTCACAAAGACATTCTTAGAGCTGCCAACCATTCCGTTTTTGCCGGAATTACTCTGTTTTTTTTTCCTCTCCATTACGGTATTACGTTTTTCTTCATAAAATACGTTTTTTTTTAATTTAATTTTTTTTTTTTTTTAACCTACCGCAGGTCAAACAACTGCCCTAAAATGGTGATTTGATCACAAATTCAATAGAAAACTATTTTAAAACATACTTGAAGAGAAAAATATTCTTAAAAAAAATGAAATGCCGATAATACCAAAATTACCACAAAAAAATTACCTGCTTGTATGGAAAAAACAGCGTGATGAATGAACATTTCTGCATTGGAAGTGTGTCGCGCGTGGTTGTAAGTTTCGTTTTTATGAATTTCTTTTTTTGGCTTGAAATTCTTTTTTTTTTGCCATCATGATTCCTTTATTTGTTCACACAAGGTTGGCAGCTCTGCATTCTATGTATCAATTTGAGACTGTTTTATGTTGTATAATTTACAAGTCCTATTTGAAATGAATGTTTCTGGCTTTAAGTAAATGTCAATGTATGAATATCAAAATATGAAGGTAGGTTTACATTGCAATAGTGCTCTGTTCTACGTTCTACTGTCAAACTAGAACTATGGTGTCCATGAAACTTTCTAAAGTATACTTTGAGATTCAGAAATTATTAGTTTCTTGTCACAAAAAAAACATAACTGTAACAATTTGAGAAGTGTTCAAGTTGTAAAATTGACAAGTAGTGAATGAAAGTTCCTGGTTTAAGTACATGGTTTAGGGCCAAAGTCCGCAAGTATAGATCCTTTCTAAAATTATCAACTAACTATCTATAGGTCAATATCAGCGCAAGCTTCTAAGTTGATCATATGGCCCAGAACGAGGCTTTATACCTACATTAGCCAGCCCAGCTGAGATTTTCTAAACTTCCTTTGCTCACTACTCCTCTGTTACGCGTTTATACCAAAATGATTTGTCAGATATCTTTCTTTTGCTCTTTTTAAATATCCAGTGTACCTTTTGTTTGATTCCTGTAAGAAGTCATTACCAGAACTTAAGGTATCCTTTAACCTTGTTATGTGCAAAACTTTTACTGGGCACTTGAAAATTTCTTGTACGACGTTTTCATCAATAGAAACGACCCCTGAATGTTGAGTACCTGATGATGGACGAATCCATTCTGCTGCCCCCTACTGGCACACCTTTGACAGGGATAGACTTCACCAAGAGGCTGCCCTCTGGTGAGCTAGAAAGGACAAGGAGAGTAAGTACTTCAGCTATTATTCTCAATCTTTACGAGACAAAAATCTTTTACAAATTTTAAGAATACAAACAGAGAATGTACGGCATATATCAACAATTGTAAGGGTGGTAAAAATAATATCTTTGAATGGTTTATGTGCTACATACAGCTTCTCCATTCATAGTTGTTGTTTTTTTTTTTTTTTTTTTTTTTTTGGGGGGAGGGGAGAAGTATTTTTGTAATTTTGTTCCATCTTTCATTGTTCTTTCTTTCTATTAAAAGAAAGAAGCTAATCTCATGCAAATTCAAATAAACCAAAGGCAAAAGAAGAAATACAATGTAATTGTCACAAGTTTTATGAGCTTCCCTGTGCCAGGGTCATTACCTCTTTTGAACCAAGTCTGTATAAGGCCTCAACATGACCACTGACTCCAAAACTAAAGCCTGCTTGTATGATGATGATATGAAGATTTACCAGCATTTTCATCATGTATGTGTATTGATGTAATGATGTTTGTTTCATTTGCATCATGCATTTTCATCCTGTTCATCATCTTGCTGTAGGCAATCCGAGCATTCTTCCTGCTCCGCGACCTCTCGCTGACCTTGCGTAACCTGGTGGAGACCAAGCTACCTTTGATCAAGCCTGACCTTCTGGTCAAGACCTCGGACAAACTGGACCTCAGTAAGTCGATCCTTCCTCTACTCTTTCATTTAATCATTCTGTCTATGTGCATTGGCCTTCTGGTCAAGACTTAGGACAAACAGACCTTTGTAAGTCAGTCAGTCCTTCCTCTTCTCTTTCATTTCAATGTTCAGTCTATCTATAGTCAAACCTGTCTTCAATAGTGGCTACCTCCCTCTAAAGGCGACCTCTGTATAGTTGCCATGTATTTTGTCTCCCTTGAGAAAGAAATGTGTGTCGTAGATCCTGTCTAGAAAGTCCACCTGCCGACAGCTGTCACTGTCTCTGTTTCCATCAGATGGCCTGTATGACCAAGTTTGACCGTGTATGTGGTTCTAGGGCACATGCTTCGTGGTCAGTGTCCCTCTACCAAACATACTTCAACCCTGGTGTCAACTCCATACCTAACCCTTGACCCTTACCCTATAGCTATACTATAAACATGATAGCACCACTAACCCTAACCCAACATCTTTGACAAAAAATTATTTTAACGCAGAGCATGTGTCAGACCACACAATGTGTGTATGAGCTGATATTTCCTGTAGTTGAATATTTGTCCAAAGAAAAGGCAAGGTTTTCCGAGTAGGGTGTTCTTTTATAAGATAAAAGTATCAGAACTGTTGTGTGGATTACCCCCCCCCCCCCTTCTCTCTTTCTGCTCTGTAAGTCTCTTTTTCATTTCTCTCTCTCTTGTTCTCTTCCTCTCTCCCTTTTGTTCCCTCTGCCCTGTCTCTCTCTCTCTCTCTCCCTCTTCCTCTCTCTCTCTCCTTCAATGCTTCTCTGCATCTCACTTTTCTCACCAACGCCCTCGCTTCAATTTTGAAGTCTTACAAAATTACATTCTTCAACTCAAATCCTTTAATTTCCTCTCTGGTATATATATATATATACATGTTGTTCATCCATGGTTTCAGGGAATTACAAAAGGTTTGACATTTTCATTCTGACAACAAAACAAGATTAAATGTTACGTGGGAGAGGCATTTCCGTGGAAAAGATGTTTAAAAGGTTCCTAAGTAAATGTCAGTCGTCAAGTATTCGCACCCCCTTAGATCTTGATTGTGTAGAGGTAAACATTCAGTATCAAACCAAAAGAGGAATCATGATATTTCTTTCTTTGAAATGCCTCTTTCAAGCACCTTTATTGGCCCAAATTCACAAAGGAGGTTTGTCGACAAACCTAGGTTTATGTGCGTCATATGATACACATAAACCAAGGTTTGTCAAAACGCGTCAAAACACGTCATATGACACACATAAACCTAGGTTTGTCAACAAATCTCCTTTGTGAATTTGGGCCATTATGTTTGTTGTTGTGTGTTTTTTTTTTGTGTTTTTTTTTTGGGGGGGGATATTTGAGATATCCTTGGTGGCCATGTTTTGTATAATGTAGTCATTTATTTGTTGACAGCTTTTATGTTGTTTAGATTTTGAGGGCTCTTTTTACAATATCCAGAGTACTAAATCTCCCTTTTGCTTTTGTATACTATTTGTTATTCTTTTTTTTCTTTTTTTTTGATGGGGGTGGAGATTGCATTTAATTTAATAATGTTCCCCAGGCTACGTCATCATACTGATGTATTTAAAGATAAACTCCAGTACTGGTAAAAAAAAAAAATTAATTCTCACAGAATCAAACGAAACTTACACTGAATGTTCAAGATTACAAATAAATGACATGTGCCAAACAATTTTGGAAGAAAATGTATACTGGCTGAGAAATGAGCATAGAAAGACAAGGAAACCAAGGTAGTACCATCCCCGACACGATGTGTGTTGTCCCATATATAGCTTTCTATGTGAGTGTTTGTTACTTTACCAAGACTCGGTCAAATTTATTATGATTTTGATGACTCCAGAACCTTGCAGTGCACACCAATACTTACATGCTACATGATCAACTGTTTCTGATCCTTTCACACCTTTTCTTTCACAATGCAATCGCATTACCAGTACTAAAGTTTAGCTTTAATTGTATATAAAAATGTGAAAGGATGGATAGACTTGAGCAATGATCAATGTGCAACAATGCCGTTACACTGAAACTTGCAGGGCCTCTTTCTGCATATTAGAAATGAATGCATAAACGAATAACACAAATATTTGTCTGATGAAATTGATTCTTTACCATCTTTGTCAAGAATAAGTAAAGTGGATAGCTATTTCACCCTAAAGAAATAGAGATATTAATTGTGATCAATTTCTTCAATAAATTTCTATGAAATGAAACCTCAAAAGTTAGATATTGTGAAAATATAGCAGCATTAGAAAATGTCAATGGTCAATAAAATGCAACGCAGAATATTTGATATTAATTTTCATGACCTTTCCACCATGGAAAGCAAAGCACAACGCCTTAAGACTAAGTGCCCTTCTCTGGAAAGCCTATCCCATTGTGTGTACATAATCACTATGCAAAGGTTATGTTGCTAAAGATAGAGACACCCTACTCTCGTTTGAAAATTAATCCTCAACTTGGCAATTGTATTTCTCAGAATTGCGAAATAGAAAACATCTGAAGTATTATATCTCGAGAGGTTGAGATGGGATTTATACTTGATTCTTGAGTGATTGAATGTTTGGTCATGTTACATTTATTTCATAATAGAAATATGGAGTTCTGTGACATGATTATTGGCACGTCCTCATTCCCAGAATTTCTCAGAACTTGTTGGTGAATATATATTACCACGTGCTGTTTAGTGCACTTGAGAAAAAAACAGGAAAGGTTGGGCTTTCCTATGAATTATTCAGATGGAGAATTTCTAGAGATCGCCCCAGGCTTTGGTTAGGAATTGATGGAAAATTGTTTTTTAGGGAAAGGTATAATATGTATTGAAGATGAGAGAGAGAGAGAGAGAGAGAGAGAGATGGTGGGAGGAAGAGAGAGAGAGAGAGAGAGAGAGAGATGGTGGGAGGAAGAGAGAGAGAGACGGAGACAGAGAAAGAGAGTGAGAGTGTAAGAGCAAGAGAAAGAGAGTGGAAGAAAGAGAGTAAGAGTCAGGTAGAGAGAGATAGAGAGAGAGACTAAGACAGAGACAGAGAAAGAAAGACACACACAGACTAGATAGAGAAAGAGAGATGATAGAGATGGAGAGAGAGAATGAGAATTTTAAATGTAGAAAATAGGTTTGGATGAATGTATGTGTTGAATGATTAAAAGTTTATATGATGAAATTGTCTTTGCTCGTAAATTAACAAGCACTTTATTTTCTCAAATTCAACTACTGTAGTTATTGTAACGTCAAGAATTTAACAAGGTATGAAAGTGACCTGGCGATGCCTGTGTGAAAACATATTCTGCATCCATATGTAGCCTGTTTAAAATTGCATAAACAATAACTAAAAAATGTCTATGTCCCTTTCATTGGAAAAAATAGCTATACAAGAAACTTATATTTAACATTGCCAAATCTGAGATGCATGGCCCTACGTGTTATCAGCGTCTGTGATATGGTGTAATATTGAAGCCCTATAAAAATTTTGCTTCCAAATGTTCATGAAGTGCCTCAAACAAGTACAAAATCTTTGAGTGACTCATTTTCCCCAAAAGACTGTAGTGTTATAAAAACATTTTTTTGAAATTTCAAATTCCAATCATAAATACCTTGATAATCAGGCTTGTAAACTTCATGGGATTCCTGACTGACCTAAAGGTTTATAATTATGATTGCAGCATGAGCTAAATCCAGGATTTTGTTTAGAATCTGAGACATAGATACCCGATCCCTTTAAACAGTCAATTGCGGTCATCAACTTGATTGCTAGATGAGAAAGAGGGGCATATTTGCAGCAGTAGATGAACCTTTTTCCCCCTCATTTATTTATTTAGTTCCTTTTTAGAACTGTTATTGCATTCTTTATTGTTCAGCAATGCCCTTGATAGCATGACTCACTTTAATAAGTCGTGTAGACATGGAGGAACTTTTTTCCCTTTTCCCAGAACTATATTGTGCTTGAATTCTATTGTATCAAATGTCCTTGAGATTCCATGCAATTAACATACAATCACTCGATTATGTTGTCAGTTGGTGTTCAAGCTTGTGACACTTTTTGCGTTGTGCGTAGGGAGGGTGGGGGAGGATGGGACACGTGAAACATGTGGGCTCGTTTTCTACGAATTCATTTAATCCCGACCCGCCATCTACGATCACGTTTATTAAACAAAGGTAAACTCAGACCTGGGACTACACATAACTTCTTCTAGGCGTTGTGGTGTGCGCCTGTAATCCAGCTAACAATGGAAGTTACAAACTGATTCAGCCAAAGACGCATGTTCGAAACTGAGTCACGTCTTTTGGATGGTGACGTTTAAAGGTCGGTCCCCAGACGTAAATAATCATATCTGATTGATACACGTCTGTAAAAAACCCAATACACACAGATACACAAATGTTAAACCCAATTTTGCACAAAGTAGTAGAATAGAGTCATATTCTCAAAACGGGTTTAAATTTAACCCATGATCTAGACCATGGTGAAACCCCCTACTCGACCTAGAATAAGCGTAAATAAGTGTGCAGAAAAAAAAATATTGGCCGTTTATCAGACATGAGGACACTGGTGTACTACGCTTTATATGGAGGTATAAAACCATGAGGTTTAAAAGAAAAAAACACTTTTGTGAATTTGGACTATATTATCGCATGCGTTTCAAATGTCTGTCAAAGTCGCTTGCTTACAATATATTTTATAATAATAATGATAATAATAATATTGGATTCTTATATAGCGCATGTATCGACCTTGTAAGGTCCTCAAGGCGCTCCAACATTACCCGGCTATGCTAGGCTGCCGATTTCGACGCTCACAGCATTTTAAGGAATTCCTTCCTATCGGTACCCATTTGACACCTGGGTGGAGTTATCACCTGCGAAGTGTTGCAGCGGTGCACAACATATTGTGATCCCTTAGATCCCTTGACGACCATACATTGCGAGAGAAACAAATATCACTAGCGATATTATTTTTGATAATTTGTTTGATATCGGCAATGA